TCAAAGTTGAGTTTGATAGCACCTCTGGGAGGTGGTTGCCAGAAACTGCTTTTTGTGGGCCTATTAGGCTTGTGGTGACGGATCAGGTGCCAATTGTTGGAGAAGGATGATGAAGGAATTCCAACAAACTCTTTTCTATTGATGCTTCTTCTATTGTGAATCAGCAATAGAGTGCCGAATTTGATGTTGTTTTAATGCGCTATGAAAATGAAAGGGACATGGAGTGGTAGAGGGAGAGAAAGTCAACAACTCACCCTCTGAACTAACCATTTTGTACGTAATGACATGGATGGGCTATAACGAGAAAATCTCAATAAAATGATGAATTGTAACCTCTAATTACAAAACTGCAAGCATGACTTATTATTGATGCTCCTTCTATTGTGAATAAGCAATAGAGTGCCTAATTTGATGTTGTTTGAATACGTTATGAAAATGAAAGGGACATGGAGTGTTAGAGGGAGAGAAAATCTACAACTCACCATATGAACTATCCATTTTGTACGTAATGACATGGATGGACTAGAAAATCTCAATCAAATGATGAATTGTAACTTCTAATCTGTGAGTTTTGTAATTAAAGGTTTAATCTACAATTTCTATATTTCCCAATTGGTAATTAGGGGAAATTGCCAGCAACAGATTTCCCCTGTTTTCGCAAATAGATTACCAAACTAGGTTTCAAAATTCAAGCTTCCAGGTCATAGTTTTCTGCTTCTACCTTTTTTTAGGCTCTCAGTTTTTTAGAAATTCTTCAAGTTTTTTAGAAATTCTTCAAGAAATTGGCTTTCTCAGTTATCAAACTGGCCATGGTTTTCCCTCTCTACCAGCAAAATCATTTATCAACGCATCAATACCTGTCTGTCTGTCTCTCTTGCATCTTTAACTTATTGAAGCATGGCTTATGTAGTTCAGTAACCCTAAGTTTTCTCTCTCCCCAAACCCGAACCCAAATACCTTTTTCAATCTGAAACCCTAACCCCAATTCTCTCTCTCTCTCTCTCTCTATTATTGCTATGTAGAAGGTCTCCTTAGACTATAATTGACATCTCAATCCGGGATCCATTTAGTTGAAATGTCGTGAACAAGCAATTTGTTGCAATCGGAGGAGCCCTATCACCATTATTTGTGGCATTTTCTTTAGGGAAGCTTTGTGGAAGTAGGTTACTTGTGGGCGTATTCTCTTTCATTATTCGTGTTACGTTGTTAAATTTGCAAATGTCTCTCATCAATCAACGTCTTGTGAAGTTGATACTAGAATACCATTAATCAATCATATGGTTTCGTTAATATAACTCAAATTATCTCAATTTGGTTGTTTGATTTGGTTTTGAATTTCCCTTCTGATTTATAACAAATGACTACCATTTTTTTTTGGGGGTAATGTTTCTCTTTATGTTAGATTTTTCTGATTTCTGGATTTGACTTTAATTATGGGCTGAGAACTTTGAGACTTAAAAACTTAGTTGTTCTCCGAACCCTTTTTATCATAATACTACTGTTGATGTTGTGAGAATTTGATGGTATAAAGGGTTTAAGTTTGTGTTGGTCCTTTTAGTCTATTTCTTTCTCGTTTATATGTAGCTCTTGAAGTTCTCTACAATTGGTAGCCTATATTTACTTGTTATTAAAAGGTAACATTGTTATGTGTATTTGACATCACTAGAGGTTTATTGATTCATTGTGATGAGGTTTGAATTGGTAGGAAAACCCTAGAGACTAAAATGGAAGTTAAGGGCATTGAATGAGGCTATCTCTTTTTCATAACTTAGAGTAAATCTTTTCTTATTTTATCTCTTTAACCAATTCATTGTAATTTGGTCTGAATGTGGAATTTTTCTCTCTAGAATTAATTGAAATACCCCATGTTTTGAGCTCTTTATTGCTACTGCACTGTTAACTTTTATTTTAATTTCTCTAAATTTTTTCTTGGCTTTTGATTTTTCTTTATTTTTTTGCATATTTACATAAAAATCCTATATATTTTTGGAATTAAAATATAGCCTGATAGTTTTTATTTTTTATGCTCAAGTCCTTTTTCCCTCGGAATTGTATTTTTTTAAAAGTTTGGCACATGCAATGCCAAACCAAATTCTTTTAGCAAAATGAGTTCAGCAGCAATGAACCCACATTTTAAAAGTGAAAGCATGAAGTGCCAAACCCGGTTTTTTAAAGAAAAAACATCGGTTCAACTCTTGAAGCGCCAAAACCACTTTTTTAAAATAAAAGCATGTCTGCTTCTGTTGGAGCATAGTACACATTTGCTCCACTGACTAAAACCCAATCTAGGTGCATGTTTAGGCCCTCAAATTTTGTATATGTAACGTTTTTAAACTAGCTACAAACCTCAGAAGATTTTTTTAAGAAAAGTACACTCTCTATGTCCCTTAAAATATAAAGCCCTAATATTGAACAGAGGCCATCCAAAATTTGGATAATCTAAGTGTTTACTAACTAAATCCAATTTTCATCTAAGTGTTTACTAACTAAATCCAATTTTCTTATTTGTTTTAAATGGTCACCAGGTTATTTTTTGGTGGATCCCAAAAATTCTGTGAAGTAGCCCTTATCCTAAGGGAGCAAGTATGCAGTATGCTCCTACGAGAGCAGTTTATGTTTATTTTACTTGAAAAAAAGTGTCTTAAAATATCGAGCCCGTGTCTTTAACTTTAAAAAAGTATGGCTTCAAGTGTGAATCCATGTTTTTACTTAAATTTTGGGTACAACACTTCAAATACAGACTCATTATTTTCTAAAAAAGTTTAGGTTGGATACTTAAGTGCCAATGAGGAGTTATTCTGGAAAAAGTAAAATTTCATGAAATATATAGGATTTTTATGAAAAATTCCATTCTTTTTTTTACTAGAAGTATTTATCTTTGGGTTTTTCACTCATGGTATTTCTTCTACTATCATCATCGTCAGAGCCTTATCCCAACTATTTGGTAGCTCTTTATTATGTTTAAGAAAATGTGTGATGGCTTCCACCAGACAACACCTCTTATACTTGTGAAGGCCTCAGTCCAACAAAAAATAACATTAAGCTTTTGTATTTAATGGTTTCAGCCAAGAAACTAGTATACCTATGTCTATGTAGAATACACTAATCTCTATCAACATATTATATCTATTATGGATTCATTTTTCATCCAAACATGGACTATATGTTGCCCAAAACTAAAATAAAATTTCATTTAACCTCTCTCTCTCTCTCTTTCATTAATGTGAAGTCGGATAGCTCTTTCTCTCAAGCTCTCATCTTGTTCATCACTGCTGTCCTTCCTATTAGGTATCTCTATCACTCATTTGCTTTGGGTTTCACCCTTATTTCTCTCTCCTCAGGCCCAACTAATGCTACCCCAAATCCCTTATCACTGGGGCGTTTGTGACATAATAACGTCGCTCTATCTAGTCAAAAAATACTCTCATATTTAGCTGTGCACTTATCTTGCCATTTTTAGCCCCAATCACTCTCCTCAAGCCTAGCTACCTTCACATGCCCCCACACGGAACCTTTCTTTTGCTTGGGTTTTTCTGCATGGTTTTCTCTCCAATCTTAGGGTTTACTCCTTTCACATCATTTTCTAGAGTTTCTTCTTTCAGGCACTATTGATTTTACAAAGCTTTAAAACTTACCATTATATGCTGTTTTTTTCATTTTAGTGAGGCATAGTAATAGTTTGTGTCTTTTCTTGTGCATCTAAGCACCTAATACAAGAGAAAGGAAATTACAAAAGAGCAAGATTAAATTCATCTGTATTAGTACAAACCATTTGACTGAGTATTTGGTAATCTTAACATCATCATCGTCATCATCGCCATTTTAGCCTTTTCCTAATTAATTGGGGTCGGGTACATGAATTTTGGTTCTCCATTCTACTCTATTAAAGGCCATATTATCAGTGAGGCCATAAGTCTCCATATCTTTTCGGACTACGTCCAACCATGTCCTTTTGGGTTTGCCTCTTGCCCTTTTCGGTCCTTCCACTTGAACTAACTCGCATCTCCTAACAGGTGTTGTACTTGGTCGGTGTTGCATATGGCCAGCCCACCTAAGTCTACTCTATCTCATTTTATAGCCTATTGGTGCCACGCCTAAATTCTCTTGAATAGATTCATTTCGAATTCTATCCCTTCTTGTCTTGCCACTCATCCATCTCAACATCCTGGTCTCCGTTACACTAATTCTATGAGTCTATTGTTTTTTTTCCGCCCAACATTTCGCCCCGTAGAGCAAAGCTAGTCTCACCACTGTCCTACAAAACTTGCCCTTCAGCGTCATTGGTATGCAGCGATCACATAAAATTCCAGTTGCATGTCTCCACTTCGCCTGCATAGCTCTAATTTTGTGTGCGACTTCTTCCTCAATCGCTCCATTTTCCTGGATTATCAACTCAATCGAGTCTTTTTTGTACTTCCTGACCTTCAATCTTAACAACTTCATCGTCTCTACTCCTATTACTTGGTAATCTTATACAACTTGAAAATGATTCTTACTTCTTTTTATGGATCTTCATTTTATGCCTCTTTCTTCCTTAATAGTAAATTGAGTATTGCAATGCATATTCATTTGCTATCGTCTTCGTGCTTGGTTTCTTCCCATTTCAGCAAGATGGAGTATGGCCTTTTTCAGTACGGCTTCTTGAATGTTTCTTATAATGATTATGATAGTATTGATAAGCAGAATTACTGAGATTAGGGTTTCTTTATCATAGCTTGGGGTGCATATGGTCTTATGCTTTGTATGAAAACGTGTCTGGATGGTTAAAAGACGAAATCTCTTTTTTCTTAGTCATACGCACTTCTCTCAATTTTCACACAAAATATTTATTGAAAAATAAGAATTTTTAAATGAAACTTATTCCTGGATACTTTTTTGAAAATGTTTTTAGTTGCTTTTTTTAGGATGATGTGTTTTTTTGCCCAATTATTATCTTTCGAACATAGTTTGGTCATGTACGAAGTCCCCTCGCTAATATCATCTTCATTATGTCATTACAGGCACTGAAAAGTGGAAGCATGCATCTCATTACCTGTTTTACAAGTGCTGGATTTTTTTTTTTGATAATTTATGCAAGTGTTGGAATTGAGCTGCTATGTACAACATTGAAAACAATTAAGGAATCATAACGAAAACTTGGGTAATTTGTTTCTCATGATAGCTGGTATAGAGAGGGAAAGGAGCCCATATGCTCTTCACCTTTCCTTTATGGAACTCTTATAGTTTTTACCTTCTCCATATGGCTCCTGCTCAAATGATAACCGGTGTAGAGCAAGAAAGCGTGGTCGAAAACTCGACTGGTTTAGAGGGAGCAAAGGTTTGTGAAATTCTAAATTCTGCTGTACCTAAAATACCATATGAGGAAAGTTTAGAATGCACAAACCAATCAAGGGAGACCGATTTGACTATCAATGACACCTCAGATCAGGATAAAATGAACAAGGACATCGGGTGTGATACAATCATTGATATTGAAGGGAATGTGGATAATGGGGACGTTCGATGGTCTCATGCTGTGGAAACCACCGAGTGTTCCAGTTCATTTGGGGACACTTTGTCGAGCTTGGATGATGATTGCAAGAGGATAGTAAGTGATCAGGAGGTGGAGTCTCAGTTTCATGGTGAAAATGGGTTTGCAAATGTGATTGATGACTTCAATGGAGGACTAAGGTTGAGGTATGTCTTTGTTGTACTATTTATTTTTTGATTTGATTTGTCTTCCTTTGAGAAATTATTTAACTTATTAGGGATGTTCTATTATGCCTTCACTTTTTCATTTTTTTGGCAATATTAATTATTCTGTGCTAATTGAAGAGGAAATAATTGTTGAATTTCTTGTTCACGCAGTTATACCAAGGGACAATTCATTTATAATGGAATACCACTTTGTTAATCTTAGATCACTACATTTAAACAAGTTCAAATGTAACAAATTATGTTAGTGAAAAATTATGGAATTTCTTTATTTATGAATCATGGGTAATAAAAAATGCTCCTATCTACCATGACATATGATACCATATACTACTATGTACTACCATATACAATTACCTTATCACCAAAAGAAAAAAAGGAGGTATATTTCATAGAATATTACAAAGTCTAGGGCCTCATCCACCAAAGGAATGTTCAACTTCATATTGTCTAGAGGCTCATTAATTGCAAGTGGCAATCTGTTTTTCATTTGTCACGTTGAACAAAATTGCATTTTGGTCCAAACAAACAAGAGATAATACAGAGTTTAAGAACTTATGTTATCAAATGTGAGATGTGGACTCGATACAATCGAGGTTTGATGCGAGATGCGGCTTGATGTGGTCTCGTGGTAGGTGCATCACATGTGTCAATAAATTAAAAACAATTTAGAAACTATAAAAATATAAGAATGCATAGAAAAACACAAACGCGTGATATTTGTGATAGTAGAAATTTTAATTTACTACTTCTATCTAATACGTCAATTATCTGAGTCACCTGATAGCTTGATAGTCTGATAAAGAGTAATAGAGTTTGTTGTCTTGCACGTAAAAGTAATCCTTTCCATCCTAATATTAATGATAGTTAACAACTTAATATAACATCCAAAGGCCAAAATACTTCACAATCACAAGTACATGAACACAACTTAAACATAACTTTCAAACTTTAAAGACAACATAACATTCAAACTTTAAAGACTAAAAGCTCATAACATATTAATGAGTCGATAAGCCAACTCTCAACTCTCAAGCCTTAAATCAGATAAGTTATACAATGATCCATCACATGTATTACTCCCATCCAAACCCCAAGTTGAAGAGTCGTCATCGTCAATATCATCACTCTCCTGCACATACACTTCTTCCTCCTCTATCTCCTTGGAGTCAGCCTTCTCCTCCTCGATCTTTGGAAATGATATTGATGTGGACCTAACTCACTTTGTGATCTAGTGCTACGCCTTGCTTCTTCTTCAGTCTGGATAGCTTGCTCGACATCCAATCAAGTAAGGTCCTCACACTCGAACCTCTACTCTGATCGTGGATTTACTATCCACTCATTCCCTCGGGTTAATTATGGTTCAAGGATTTTTTTTTTTTGGGTTTTTGGGGATTGCATAATTTACCCCTGCTTGTGGATAAAATTTTTGCCCACAAGCAGGGGCAAATATGTGGGTGCATTGCCTCTTATGCGATGTGTCTGCATATGCGGTTGATGGGCCACATACAGGCATGTTGCAAATTCCTGCACATGCGGGTGGAGGCAACATGCTCAAGGCCACATGACGCATTGCTTGCTATGTGGCCGCAATTGATATCATCGCTTAAGTATCCTTTCACAAACAAAATAATGATTAACCTCAAAATAATGATATCATAGCTTTAGAATTATTTTTTCTCAATATGTTTTTTATGGCTTTGTTAGCTCATGAGTTGTTGGATTCCATAGATTACGAATGTTGAATACTCCTGAGTTGCATTCTGGAAAGAAGCGTAAAAAATACTCATCAGGAAAGGACTACAAGGAAAAGAAAAAAGAAATTGCATGATTTTAGGGATTGGTGTTTAAAATGACAGAAGGTGCCCCTAGGTGGCACCATGGCCACTTTAGGCACCCTTCTTCATTTCATGATTGTAAAGTGGGGGCATTTTGATAAGTGAGTAGGTATTATTGATATTTTCACTAAAAGACAAACGGTCTTTTGTAATTTTTAGGACATTTATGAAAATTTTACTAAAAGGCAAATGAATTTATAATAATAGAGTACTTAGAGTTTCACTCCATAGTTACCCTTGTCTTTTAGTAAAAGGATCAACAATACTCTTCTTATGACAAAAATGTCCCTAGTCATTTTCTTGCCATCGAATACCAGAAGGGACAAGTTAAATCAATTTTGAGTGTTTACACCCCTTTCTAAATAAACCAATCAAGATTCCATAGGATGTTAGCCATAGAAAACCATAAAATCTACCTAGGGCTAAGCGTCAAGGTGTTAAGACAGGCTGGCATGAGGCCACCTTTTAATATATTGTTTTGGATTGGTTGTCCATAAGATAGAAGTCACCATATCTGTTCTTACTACTTCCATCCATATGTCCTTTGGGGGCCTTCCTCTTGTCCTCTGAGAGCCTTTTACTTGAACCAAATCGTCCCCCCTAGCTGGTGTTGTATTAGGCCTATGCTGTACATGGCCATCCCACCTTAAGTCTATTCCCCTTCATCTTATCGTCTATTGGAGCCACCCCTAAGTTTCTTTTGATGCATTCATTCCGAATTTTATCCTTTCTTGTCTTGCTAGTCATCCATCTCAACATTCTCATCTCATCTACACTTATCTTATAGATATAGTTTTTTCGACCGCCAAGGTTTCAAAAAACGCTAGCGGGCCCCTAGACGGCCGGCTTGGAGCCTAGCGCCTAAGCGGGCGCCCAGAACCTTGGGCACCCTGTTGTACAAGTTATATAGATATGTGGTTTATATACATATATAATTGTGTCAATTTTAGAATTTATTACATTTGAAAATATTGTAACATATTTTTTTATATACAAATATATGACATATCGCATGTTGAGAATAAACTTGTTCAAAATTTAAAAAATCAAGTCTAATATGATATGTATTAGTAATAATATCTAACTCTCCATATTTCATAATAAGTGAAAAGGTTTAGGAAGCTTCTTGAAACCACAAAAAATACGTCAATTATCCGAGTCAACTGATAGTCTGATAAAGAATAATAGAATCTGTTGTCTTGCGCGTAAGAGTAATCCTTTCCATCCTAATATTAATACCAGTTAACAACTTAATATAACATCCAAAGGCCAAAAATACTTCACAATCACAACTTCGTGACCACAACTTAAACATAACTTTCAAACTTCAAAGACTAAAAGTTCATAACATATTAATGAGTCGATAAGCCAACTCTCAACTCTCAAGTCTTAAATCAGATGAGTCATATGATGATCCATCACATGTATTACTCCCATCCAATCCCCAAGTTGAAGAGTCGTCATTGTTAGTATCATCACTCTCCTGCACATGCAATTCTTCCTCCTCTATCTCCTTGGAGTCAGCCTTCTCCTCCTAAATCTTTGGAAATGATATTGATGTGGACCTAACTCACTTTGTGATCTAGTGCTACGTCTTGCTTCTTCTCCAGCCTGGATAGCGCTCGACATCCAATCAAGTAAGGTTCTCACGCTCAAACCTCTACTCTGATCGTGGATTTACCATCCACTCATTCCCTCGGGTTCATCCAATATAATTGGGTCCATAATCATGCTCTTCAAGAACCTCTCCCTTAGAACCATGGAATTATGGTTCAAGAATTTTTTTTTTTGGTTTTGGGGGATTACAATTTTGCCCCTGCTATTGGATAAAATTTTTGCCCACAAGCAGGGGCAAATATGTGGGTGCATTGCCGCTTATGCGATGTGACTGCATATGCGGTTGATGGGCATACAGGCATGTTGCAAATTCCTGCATATGCGGGCTGAGGCAACGCGCCCAAGACCGCATGACGCATTGCGTGCTATGTGGCCGCATTTGATATCATAGCTTAGGTATCCTTTCACAAACAAAATAATGATTAACCTCAAAATAATGATATCATAGCTTTAGCATTGTTTTTTCTCAATATGTTTTTTATGGCTTTGTTAGCTCATGAGTTGTTGGATTCCACAGATTACAAATGGTGGGAATATTTTCGAGTTGCATTCTAGAAAGGAGCATGAGAAAAACTTATCAGAAAAGGACTACAAGGAAAAGAAAAAAGAAATTGCATGATTTTAGGGATTGTTGTTTAAAATGGCAGAAGGTGCCCCTAGACGGCATCATGACCACTTTAGTTACCCTTTTTTCATTTCATGATTGTAAAATGGGGGCATTTTGATAAGTGAGTAGTTATTATTGATGTTTTCATTGAAAGACAAACAATCTTTTGTCATTTCAAGGACATTTATGAAATTTTTACTAAAAGGCAAAGGAATTTATAATAATGGAGTACCTAGAGTTTCACTCCATTGTTACCCTTGTCTTTTAGCAAAACGATCAACAATACTCTTTTTGATGAAAAAAACGGCCCTAGTCATTTTCTTGCCATCGAATACCTGAAGGGACAACTTAAATCAATTTTGAGTGTTTACACCCGTTTCTAAATAAACCAATCAAGATTCCATGGGATGTTAGCCATAGAAAACCATTAAATCTACCTAGGGCTAAGCCTCAAGGTGCTAAGACAGGCATGTGGCCACCGTTTAATATATTGTTTTGGATTGGGATGTCCATAAGATAGGAGAATGGGGTTGTATGTTGGGGGATTGGATGAAAGGATTACAATTGTATAATGACAAATTCATTATTAGGGAAACTTATTTCATCTTTATTCACCTTGTGACTTAATCACAAAGTTGACTTCTTACGATTTTAGGAGAGGGTGTCTGATGGGCTTCATCAAATGCTTTACTTTGTTTGGTAGTAATAGGCTACTTATTTGTGATTAATGGAATACTGTTTTGGTTGCGAACTAGTAGCAAGCTTTTAGTTGAAGGTTGTGTTACAAAAGGCATTATTTCGAAAGTCAATCTAAAAAATATGAAATTTTTAGGATAAATGCAATGGAGGGGATTTGCTTATAAATCATCGTCATCATCTCATCTGAGCCTTATTCCAACTATTTAGGGTCGGCTACACGA